AAAAAGGCAAACAAATCTTCAGTATTTCCATTTTCATAACCAGATCCAAACCCAAAATTCGAAACAAAAAAAAAAGCAAAAAGAAAATTACAAAATCACTGTGCGTTTCATTACGCACAGCAGTTGTCCAATCACACATGCACAACGATCGTTCTAATCACACATGCACAACAATCGTTCTAATTACACATGCACTCCAGACTCCCTGATCGCAAACCTTCGCCGTTGATGCCGGAGAAGCAGGCCGATGAATACCCAGATGACCCAGACTCTGATCTGGGTTTTGATTTGCCAATTGGGTCCTAGAAAAAATAGGAAAAAAAAGGGAGATGAACGGAGAAAAATAGGAAGAAAATGATGGAGACGAAGAAAAAAAGGATTAAGACGGAGAAAAATTAGGAAGAAACAGAGGGAGAGGAGAGAAAAAGAGGGTGAGGAAAGAGCAAAATTATTAAGGATGAGGGAGATGAACGGAAAAGAAGTAGGAAGTGTCCGAATGGACTAGGGAAGCTTCTAGAACGGAAAAAAATGGATAAAAGTATGAATTAAATAATAATAAATATTAATTATTTATTAAATAATATAATATTAGATTTTGTTATTATTTTATTTTTTAATCCGATACTACATCAAACACTTTACTAAGTCAGTCAAGTTTAGTTTAGTCTAGGGTGTATTCAATTGAGATTTGAGGGATTTAAATTCTTTTAATGAATCTAGGGGTATTTAATTAAGATTTTAAATGATTATCTGAAATTTAAGGTGTATTCAATTAGAATTTAAGATAGTTTATTAAAATCTTTAGAAATCTAAGTGTATTCAATTATGATTTTAATCAAGTTTATAATGTTTCAGGTGTATTTAATTAAAAATTGATTTTAAAGAATTTGATAAAGTTGAGGAATTAGAGAAAATTGGAGAGATTTCGTAATGTATTTTAAGCATCCAAAAATCTCACATCTTCTTATGAGATTTTTGAGGGAATTGAATCAAAATTTTATATGAAGTATCTACAAATCAATTAAACTACATAAAAATCTATAGATTTATAAATCCATTAAAGTTTCTCAAATTCTCGATTGAATACACCCCTTTCGTCTTTGAAACTAGTTTAGTCCAAAATAATCTGATACAACAAACGCACCCTTCAAGATTTTTTATGTTTTGGTCAGCTTATGTTGATGTATAACTGCTCTCTCCCATCATGTAGCAACGGTAATATTCCCTCACATTTTTGTGTGAGCTGATGAATGAATCACCATCGCGTTTGCTTCTCTGATTGTCTCTGCAATTTTTTTTTCCATTTCCAGAATTCCAAAACATATAAACATAATGTGAGAGTTATCACACTCAAACTTTTTATTTTTATTTTTTATAAACAAAAAAAGTAATACAAAAGGGAATAACTAAGATCCTTATTAATCATTTTACAAATAGATAAATTTGTAATTAAAAAATTTATATAAATATAGATGGAAAGATAAGACATTGAAGTGAAAATAACAACTCTATTAAAATATTTTCTCCGACTCCATGATCCCTCGACTTTGCTACATAGCTTCTGGAGTTGACTCCGTCGTCCCTTGCCTATGGTACTTATTTTCCATACCAGAAATAATATTAAACTTGTACGTGGCTTCTTCGGATTGGCCGGTGTACAAGAAATTAAAATATCAGTTTTTGGTCAAAATTCAAATATGAATGACGGAAAAATGAGAAAAGAAACATTGCAGAAAAAAGAGAGGCTACTGTTTCGTATCTTTGAATATTTCGAAGGGCCTACATTTCAAGATTTTGGAAGTTGGAACAAATTATATATTAAGACCTGACTCTTATTCCTTTTTCTAGTTTACCCATTTCATTTGATGCTCCAATCTCTTTGCTGAGCCTTTTCCTCCAACTTCCATAATGCATTCCGTTCTCCTCCAATCACTGTTTCCATATCTTTTGATCGCTTCCTTTCTTTGGATTAACCTCGAGTTAAGTCTATGCCAGGGTGATGAACAATTCAAAAGCTGCAGCAGAGCTGTCAATTGTGGTGACGTCGGAGACATCTCCTACCCTTTGTATATTAAAACAAAACAAGAAACCTGACTCTTATTCCTTGTACTACTTCCCCCATTTCATTTGACTCTCCAGTCTCTTTGTTGAGCTTTTTCCTCCAACATCCATCATGCATTCCTTTCTGCTCCAATCGTTGTTTCCATTTCTTTTGATCGCTTCCTTCCTTTCGATCAACGTCGAGTTAAGTCTATGCCAGGATGATGCACAATTCACAAACTGCAGCAGCTCTATCAATTGTGGTGGCGTCGGAAACATCTCCTACCCCTTAGGTCCAATGTCTAAACAACGTCCCTGTGATCAACATGAACGGTCTGAGCTTTAGAATTCTTGAAATGAATTTGACCACTGCTCCTCGGACTATTAAGGTTGCTAGACAGGATTACCGGGGTAGTATCTGCCCGCTGACTTTCGTCAACACCACCCTCAACTTCTCTCTGTTTAATTATGCCTCTGGTTATACAAACATGACATTTTACTACCTATGCAATATCAACAACATAGGGCTTCCTAGCACGCAGTGCAACATAAGCAATACAGTGAGCCCTGTTTTCTATGCGACACGTTTGATGGTTGAGCAGACATCTTCTGTCAGCTGTACAGATGAGGTTATTGTTTCGGTTTATACAGCAGCTGCTCAGGCTATAGAGGCCAGTCAAACAACCGTCAGCGATCATCTCATAAGATAGATTACTTGGATGGTTAGACTTTGTGCTGATATAAGAGAGAGAGAAACTGCTCTCTCCCATCAAGTAGCAAAGCAACGGTAATATTCCCTCACATCTTTTGCATGAGCTGATGAATGAATCACCATCGCGTTTGCTTCTCAGATTGTCTTTGCAATTTTTTTTCCATTCCCAGAATTCCAAAACTCAACCTCTAACAGTTTTAGCCTTTGTTTGGTGCCTTTCTAGTCAACCCTTTTTGTTGCTCTTCTCACATTGCAAAATTTTTCTTTTAAATTCCAGTTTTACATATTACAAGTAGTGAAATAAATGTTTCTGCATACATGTCAAACATACACATAACCTACCATACAACTATACCCATTCCCCGACAACGTGTCAGCCCTTGTTGACTTTGATGATTGTAATATAAGTGCAGAGCGATTTAGGTATACAAATCTTAGCGATGCAAAGTTGACCATAGAAATAGTAACAAACTTGGCCACCAAAACTTTCCATTGGCTATAAGCACTAGTAATTAAATTAACGTTCCAAATGAAACTATCATCTCTTTTTTCTTCGACTTCGAATCGTACTCACTCTCTCGCGCCATGGAAATACATCACTATCCCTTCCAAAACATCTCTTGGCTCCTTGTGATCTCAACTACCATATGCCTTTTTCATGTCTGAAAATCTTCGGCTGTGGATGACAATCGATACTTCAACTGCCACGCATCGTTTTAATGAGCAAATTTTCGGAAGGATGGTGGGTGGAGGAATGAGGGTGCAATGGGGAAGTAATCTATATGGAATTGATTGGGTGGAGGAATGATCATTTTAACGAGCAAATTTCAGTTCCATTGTTATGGTTTTTTATTGCTTGTTCTGTTTTCCAATTAGGGTTTAGGGGGGGCGCGGGGGACACCTCCCCAAGATTAAGAGTTGCTTCTCTTCTTTACTGTTTTCCAATTGAGATTGAATTTGGAATTTTTATTTGCTTCTCTTCTTTACTGGCATGCAATTAATCAGTTGACATAAATTGGAATTTTTATTTGCTTCTCTTCTTTACTGGCATGCAATTAATCAGTTTTAAGTTAGGAGTCTAGACTTTATGTTGGTGGGACATGAACAAATTCACTTGTTTTGAGCAGATTGGCGTTTATTGTTTTTTCTTTTAAACTCTTCCAGTTTAAGAAGATTGGATCTTGTGTGATTTAGCTAACTGCAGTTTTCTTTACAATTCAAGGTGCAGGAGATAAGCAGTTGAAATTGAAGCTAGGACTCGGTAAGATTGATATCTCTACATTTAAATATCTAATTGATATGGATACTCATCTAGGACAAGCTTTAGAACCAAAGGACGGAAATCAATCATTCTCCAATCCCTCTGGATTAATTTTCTAAGAATCACGGAATGAGCAAGCATTTAAACACACTAGCAAAGTCCATTGATTGCTCTGCATAACATACCTCCAATCAAATTTAACTCTCCTTTAACAGTTGGTGCAGCTTTTGTTGTCTGTCGTTCTAGTTGTTGTCTGCTGTTTCTTTTGGAACAAGCGTATCCAAAAACATCAAATTGTTGAGGCCTTTCTAAGGAGCCATGGGCCGCTTCAAGTTCAAAGGCATAGTTATTCGGAGGTCAAGAAAATGACCAACTCCTTCAAAGAAAAATTAGGACAAGGAGGCTATGGTGCTGTTTACAAAGGAAAGTTAAAGGATGGCCGTCTTGTAGCAGTGAAGGTCTTGACCAAACTTAAAGGAGATGGAGAAGAATTTATCAATGAAGTGGCAGCCATTAGTCGAACTTCCCATGTCAACATCGTCTCCTTGTTGGGCTACTGTTTTGAGTGTTCGAAGAGGGCTCTGATCTATGAATTCATGCCTAATGGATCGCTCGAGAAGTTCATATTTAATGCAAGTAATCCCAAGAATGATCATCATCACTTGGGATGGGAAACTCTGGATCAAATTTCACTCGGTATTGCTCGAGGATTGGAGTACTTACATCGTGGTTGCAACACAAGAATTTTGCATTTTGACATCAAGCCTCACAACATTCTTCTCAATGAAAAGTTTACCCCAAAAATTTCGGATTTTGGCCTTGCCAAAATATGCAACAGGAACGAGAGCATTGTGTCGATGTTGGGAGCTAGAGGTACAGCAGGATACATTGCTCCAGAACTATTTTCTAGAAACTTTGGAAAGGTCTCGCACAAGTCTGATGTGTACAGCTACGGAATGATGCTTTCGGAGATGGTTGGAGGTAGGACTGGGTTCGGTTCTCATCGGTTCGGTTTTTTCTCAAAACCGAAACCGAACCAAAATTTCGGTTCGGTTCAATTTTATTTCGGTTTTTTTCGGTTCGGTTTTTTTTCGGTTCGGTTTTTCTCGGTTCGGTTTCGGTTTTTTTTTTTTTTTTTTATTTTTTTATTTTTTTTTATTTCTCCCTCCAAAATTATTTTGCATAAACACTAAGCCAATTTTTTTACAATTGCATAAACACTAAGCCAAACTTTAGCGATCTTTCTTTTTCTGAAGAAACTCCTGGGATTCCAGCGGAAACAGAGACAAAACCCGCATCCTGTACAAGATCAACCGAGAGTCAAAACAGATAGAAATTTCACTTTATTAGAACTCAAATAATGCTACTTACTCAATATCAGGACCAACCATATAATATTGAACATGTTGTCAGTAATGTGATTAATATAGCAGTTTTAAATTTGAGAACCTACACCCTCCTTTCGCGCTTAAGCATAAAGTTATTAGATATAAATACTAGAGCTCTAGAATGCAAGAACAAAAAACAAAAGAGATGAGGGCGGATGAGGGGCTTACGGTATTTCTTTTAGAATTCACCTTCTCTCAGACCCCATCTCTCCCTCTCACACTCACACACACCCGCATAGTAGTACTTCTAATATAAATTAAAAGATCTTGACTATGCCGATTCATCATTTTATTCACTTAAGAAAAGGCCATAACCCTCTAAAACTGGATTGATTCATGCACCTCATTCAGAAGAAAAGCCAAAAAAACTTCTTTACGACACATTCATGGAAGCTCCACTAATTATACTGTTGTAATCATGCAGTCCATATCATGACAATTACTTTGAAATCTTACTCACAAATGCCACCATGTTACTTTAGTTGCCAGAATAATCACACACATATCTTAAGCATGTGTATATTGCCCGATTAGGGGGTATCCCTTGTACTAGGATGAAGAGATTAAGCACCATTAAGCATCACAGTTTTTTTTTAAAAGCCTCATGCTGATGAGACGATATAGCTAAGCATCATACACGAAATGTGAAATAGAAGGGGGAACGGGTAAAAGTATCCCTTTTGATAATTACCTCATAATTGAACTTTCGCTTGTGAATCGGCTTAAACTTCCGAACATCCAAAATTGTTAGTTCATCATCCTACATTTGAACAACGGGCAAGAATACAGCTTAAGAACGGCAATAAATAGCTATTAGCTACTGATACCCACCACTCAGAATTCCACAGAATGAAGTTACTGAACCAGAAACTGCACAAAACCCGGGGAACGAGGTTTGGAACAACTCAACTTACCCTATAACCAACGGCGATGTGCGTCCCATCAGGTTTATAGCACATTTTCCACCTGAAACACCCACATAGAGATAACATCAAATTCCCATCTTTGTACCTAAAAAACGAAAAAATAAAAACTTGAAAGAGCAATGACTCACTCCGAGCATCCCAAAGACGAACCGTGTGAGAGACAGAGACAATTTGAGAGTGAGAAAGGTCCGCCGGTCGCGAACTCGATGTCGCCTGGGATTCAAGACTGAGAGAGACAGAGAGTTTGAGAGATACAGAGAGTGATTGAAGTTGAAGTCTTGAAGACCGAGAGAGAGAGAGAGGAGGCTAACCTTTTGCTGTCGACCGTCGCGAGTCGCCTGAGAGATTGAGAGAGACAGAGCGAGAGAGAGATGAGGCTCAGGGCCTCAGGCTGCGCGAGACTGAAGAAGAAGAACTGCGGCTTTAGTTACAGGGAGTCAGGCTGCGCGAGACTGAAGAAGAAGAACTGCGCGAGACTGAAGGCAGGGAAGGGAAGTAGGGAACGAGAGAGAAGAGGCTTAAGGGTTAGGGTTACAACGGCGGCTTTAGATAGTTACAGGGAGTCAGGGACCAGGGTTTTGTTAAAACTTAAAAACATTAAAAAATTAAAAATAACCTCACAAATCCTGGAGGCATGAGGGTTTGAACCCATGCCTCCAGCTTGTAAAGTTTCATTGAAACCAACTTGGTAACAGGTTCTGTTTTGTTATGATTGTATGACTAAACTATTTATAAATATTCAAAAAAATTATATATATATATATCGGTTCGGTTCGGTTCGGTTCGGTTTCCGAGCCTCAAAAACCGAAACCGAACTGGTCAGATTCGGTTCGGTTCGGTTTGACAATTTCGGTTCGGTTTTTTTTCGGTTCGGTTTTTTTCGGCCTCGGTCCGGTTCGGTTGTCGGTTTTTTTCGGTTTTCGGTTTTTTGAACCCACCCCTAGTTGGAGGAAGAAGGAACATCAACACGGAAGTTGAAAATACAAGTGAAATATATTTTCCGCATTGGATTTACCAGCGTCTTGAACGAGATGAAGAGCTTGGTCTACAGAGTGTTACGAACGAGGAAGACAAAGTAAGAGCGAGGAAGATGATCATAGTGAGCTTGTGGTGCATACAAACTGATCCTTCAAACCGGCCAGCGATGAAGGAAGTGATAGATATGTTGGAAGGGAGTGTTGATTCGTTGCAGATACCACCCAAACCTTACTTGTCTTCTCCTCCAAAATCCCCGGCAGATTCTTCTACTACATTGGTATCAATACAGTAGAAACCCTGTATTTTACTTGAACGAATCTGTGGTTTTTGAGGCAATCTAAATAATCAAGTATGCATTTCACTTTGTTTTGTTTTTTTATTTATTTATATGAATGAATCAACACAGTAGGAGTGATTCACTCCTACTACCCCTCCAGCAATCATATATATATTCAACACAAAATGTGTTAAACATTTGCATTTGTGGCCTAGGCCAGTGGACCAAGGTAGTGTGCCCGTTTCATGCATCTTGCGAAGCCACGTGATTCTATTTTGACAAACAGTGAAGAGAATTGAAGCCGTGTTGAATTTCAGAGTTTTTGCATAACTTTTGAAAATGAGTGGATTGGCGGTACCCCATTACTTGAAAAAACAACTCTATGGTGGTGCTGGATGAATTTCCAAGTGACAAGCATATTGCGTATGATCAACTTAGGCAAAATTATTGATGACCGCCGCCAATATGATTAAAGTAAAATTCCGATTTTAGACCTTAGCTCTTGAAATGAACAAAAAATGTGATGTAACGGACTATGTCTGATTCAAAAGTGATTAGTTGAATCCTAGAAATAGTATTTGATCGCCCAAATCATGTACCCTCTTCCATGCAATCTGGCTGAAATCCAGTATATACGCTTTGAAATAGTATTTCAAGAACAGCATCAGGTTCGGGGGAACCTACAAACAAGTAGACGCTCTCCACAAGTTTCCACAAGATACTTCAACACACCGTAATTTTCCTGCTCCTCGGACATTTTTACTTAATGGCTATCTGTTTTTATCTCATGATCATCCTCTGTTCTGATGGCAGCAATCACATTAGTAACCTTAATCTTCGAAATGCTATAATCACTGCTTAGAAGATAGAAACTTGCATCTGAGAAGACAGCATCCTCAAACGGCTTACCATCTAGCTTATGTTTAAGCCATGATTGAGCTCCGCGGACCCAAAATGCAAGCTCCCGGTGTTGACTATGAACAAGCATGCAAACAAAGTTTTCGACAGAGGGAAGTGCTGAGAGAACCATCATGTGATAAAAATTCCATGTTTTGGGAAGATGAGTTTTCTTTCACTAGAATCAACCAGTCTTGATATGATCCCCAACAGTATCCTCTAATAGCCTGAGGAAGCACCATCTCCCAATCTTGATTCTGTAATATGCTAAGACAAGTCCACAAGTCCTTACATGTCTGTCTCTGTGGCCAGACGCTATGAGCCACGGGACACCATGCCTTTGCCAACAAGAAAGTTCCTGTCCAATAACGTTTCTCCAAGCTCTGCAAACATCATTAACAGAGATACAACCAATCAGAGGCAGCCGCTCAAAGATAATCTCGAGTATACTCTGAGCCAGCTCTTCCCAATCCACGTTCGTAAACTTCTGCTTCTTCCGCCTTCTATTTGCCCTTCAACCCATCAAAGCTCTATGACTCTACAGATAGCAAATAATAGTGTAAATACAACATCAAAAAAGTGTAAAAATTACAGCAACAACATTCAAATTCGATGTATAACAGATGTGGATAGAAGGATTATACATTTTGTGAAGGCAAATAACTCCCTTGCTACCTTGTAACATGTTCAGAATCAAATTAGAAAAAACTTTCTAGATAATCTTTAAATCTTTACAGGTAAATCTCAAAAATTGGGATGCCATTGTTTCACTATAGCGGCAGTGATTGTTCCTCGGAGTCTAGCACTGGATGCAAACAAATAAAATGATTCCCGAACAAATAAAAGCACAGACACAAACAATCAAAACCTCAATTGCAATAACAAAATGATTGCCTGGAGCTAAAATCGTTAGGTCCCAACTCGCAGAGAATGCAAGCCTTTATAAGAGATCTCTGCAAGAAGGATGCTGTATATTATCAACATTTCTCAATTTCTGAGTTAAACCCATAACTTTAGTCCAAAGTAGAAGGGGGAACGACACTGTACAATTTTAGGGTAGATTTTATTTCATTTATGAAATTGCCACTGGGTCTCCCTGCCTCCTGATTTAACGTTATTTGAAAAATTGCCACTGGGCTTCAGAAAAGGGTTTTGGGTCTTTGGGCTGGATGTGGCCTTTCACTCGGGGTCGGGGAGAGAGATGGAAGGGGGACGGAAGGGTTGACGTGTTGGAGGGAGACGTTCGCCGGGATTTAGGGGAGAGGATTTTCGGCGGGGACGTGCGGGTGGGTGTCCTGTGGCTGATGCATCGGTTAGAGGGTTGTTGGAGGGATGGGAGGCCATGCCGCTCTGGGATCGAGATAGAAAGACAGAGGGAGAGGGAGACATAGCGACAGAGAGAGAGGGCGAAGGAGAAGTGGGCATCCTCAATTTCATGAGTGGGACAGGGGGTACAGTCAGAGAAAAGCATGGGGGCCGTCGGGATTTGACGAGTAGGCTGATTTCCAAGGATTTCTCAAACCCTCCTTGCCTCTTCCGTCTCGCAGACCCCGCGAGAACGACGGTCTCGCCGCCGTGTCCCTTCTCTCGTCTTCGTCGTCTTACTCCTCGTTTCTCTGTCTCTAGAATCGATCGATCTATTCGAAAAGGATCGACAGTTTTTTTGGGGGCGAAGATTTGATTGGAAATTTGAATGGTGTAGTGGACGTTGAAGTTGTTTCCCACAATTTTGTTATGAATTCTCAATGTTTCATGAATTCGGGAAATCAATTTTGTTATCTCTTATGCAGTTATGATCGTATGAGTTGGAATTTGGATTTTCACACACACATGTAAACTGAAAACAGAAAATAGATTTTTGTAATTCGAAGTTAGCCGACCCCACAGGATGGGAAAAGGCTTAAGAAGAAGAAGAAGAAGTTAGCTCTAAACTATAGAAGCATGGAAGTTTATGTGGACCTTAGATTGTTTTGAAAAATAATTGATTGATTCAAGAAAGCAAAGAGCTTGGAACCTTAACTGTCTCATTGTAATCCTTCACCAAGTTCTGGTAATTTATGTTCTATTTATTCTGTCATCCGAAACTTAATTGCATTTGGGTGTTTGTGTTTGATGCTATTTTTTGGATGTAGGTAACTAGATTCTTATTCTCTGGGAATTGTATTCATTTGTTCAATCTCAATATTTTACCAATATTCTCACGCTATCCCTTGTTTTTAATCTATAATTTATTTTGTCCAATTCATGAAATTTCCTTCTTTTTTTTTTTTTGACGATTTAAAATAAATAGGAGCAATTTAGTTATCCGGTTTGGAGGGTTTTGATCTAATTGCAGTAGTTATCTGTTATCTGTAGGTTTGTGAAGGTCTGCGAATAACAGTTGATGAAAAAGTTGCAGTTTTGGAAATGACTGTCAGCAATCAAGACGTGAAAAAGAAGGTTCCTCTTTCTTATTTTTGTTTCCAAATTTTTCTTCTTTTCTATTTTGTGGATTAAAAAAAAGGGATCTTTCGGCAAACAGAATGGTGTTTTTTTATCAGATTTTGTTAATTAATTGGATTTTGTGTTTACCCTTTTGTTTCAGTCTTTTATTCATAAAATCTTCACCACAAAGGAGAAAGAAGGAAGCGGCTCTTCAGATTTCTCAGGTGAGTCTCTAATGTGTTTCTTTCTGGTTTCAATTGAATCACTTATCACCATTGTTTTCCGTTGGAGAAAATCTGGAGAGAGAGAGAGAGGATATTCCTTGCAATTGGGGACTCATATTAGAGTTGATGTTATCTTTCTTTTTGGATACACAAGACTGCAGAATAGAATCCCATCTGCTTTTTGAAGGATGTGATTTACTTTTCTTTTTTTGAATGGATTTGTTCTTTAACTGTTTGCAAAGATAGGGACATTGGTCCAACCATATAAGACATTTGGGGTCTAAAAATGGCGTTTTTCGTAAGAAAGATTGTAAACACGAAAAATTCCTGAAACAAGAAACAAGAATATGTGTACAAAATAATATTTTTGTGTTTAATGATTTTGGGGTTACGATCTCTCGAATTTTTGGTCCTCTGATTCGATCTCCGTAAGATAGATTTGTTGATCCAAGGGCCGTCGAGGCTTGATCTTGGATGAACAGTTGTAAGTTTCTTCAAGGGCCTTCGTGGCTTTGATCTTGAAGGTTGATGGAAGTTTCTTCAAGGGCCTTCGGGGCTTGATCTTGAAGGTTGATGGATGAGCGGATCTTCAAGGGCTTTTGGGCTTGATCTTGAAGAACGGTTGGTTTTCTTCAAGGGCCGTCGAGGCTTGATCTTGAATGAACAGTTGGTTTTCTTCGAGGGCTTTTGGGCTTGATCTTGAAGAATAGATGTGTGGATTTGTTTGTTGATCCAAATGGCCGTTGGGGCTTGATCTTAGGATGAACGGATGATGAACGATGAACATTTTCTTCAAGGGCCGTCGGGGCTTGATCTTGAGTTGGTGGAAGTTCTTCAAGGGCCGTTGGGGCTTGATCTTGAAGGAGGATTTGAAGAACGAAAAGTGCTTTCTTGATCTTTCGGGATTTTCTTGAGAGCTTTAGAACTTTAAGGCTTCAAGGTTTTGGTGTGTTGTGGATGAGTTGTTGATCCAAAGGGCCGTCGGGGCTTGATCTAAGGATGAACAGTTGATGAATGGATCTTCAAGGATCTTCAAGGGCTTTTGTGGGCTTGATCTTGAAGAATAGATGTGTGGATTTGTTTGTGTTGTTGATCCAAAGGGCCGTTGGGGCTTGATCTTAGGATGAACGATGAACACTTTCTTCAAGGGCTGTCGGGGCTTGATCTTGAGTTGGTGGAAGTTTTTCAAGGGCCGTCGGGGCTTGATCTTGAAGGAGGATTTGACGAAGAATGAAGAGTGCTTTCTCCATTCTTCGGGATTCTTGGGAATTTGGGGGTTGGATGCTTGAGAGCTTTAGAGTTTCAAAGCTTCAAGGATTTTGGATGTGTGGGGAGTATTCTCTTCCATTTTGGGAGTAGAGAAATGTATTTGTGAATTGGTGTCTATTCCTCTTGATGGAGAAGCCTATTTATAGGCTTTGAGAGTGAATCACCACCATTCATTTTTTTGGTGAAGTGAGTGGAGGTTGTAGGTGAAGTAAGTGGATGTTGTAGGTGAAGTAAGTGTGTGAGGTTGGTGAAGTAAATAAATGTTGTAATTTTAATACATTGGTTAACATTTATTTTACTGAAATTTCGATGTCTACAAAGATATTGATGGCTACAGAGAGAGAGAGAGCACAACGACCTCTTGCTGAAAAACCGTGAATTTGGTCCCAATTCGAGGGAAATTTTAAGCCCAAAAAAGCCTTGGTTTCCTGGTGAGTTCTCCGGCTGATTTGGAGTAGGTAATTTTGTGATTTGCAGTTTATTTTGAGAAATGATTGATAGGTTTGCAGTTCATTTACCATTTCTAGAATTTTGCAATTTATTTTGGGGGTTACACCCAAATTGAGAAAGCACAAATGAATGCAAAGGCTCGAGGATGTATGACAACTTGGATATGATAGGGTACAAGCAGTGACATTTCTGCAAATTTATTATTATTATTATTATTTTCATTTTAGGGGTTTTTTAACTGTTTGGTTTTTGGGTTTTGTCTAATTTTTGTGGTCTGCTTTATAGATTGTTCTCTTTGGAAACCTTTCAAATATGCACGTCAAATCACATATCACGATCATCATCAGTACACAAGCCAAATCATGTTTAATAAACATAGGTCTGTGGCTAAATATATAATCACATTTCAATAGAAATTTCATTTATAACCCAAAGCATATTCACATATGACATTAATATAAGAAATCAAGGCAATAATTGTATCACATATATTCAAGTCACTCCCAAACCAAAGTGGTCCCACTAGACTTCACTTAGTATTCCGTGGTATTAGATTTAGAATTTAAAACGTTTCGAGACATGTTGACCAAAAGTCAACTCTCGGTCAATGGTAAGGTCTACAACCCTACGTAATTTGATCCGGAAGATCCGTACATCAAATTTCCGATCCATCAGTTCCAACTATCCTCAAATATTAGGTTCTATAATGTATCAAACTTTGGTGACGATCCAACGGTCGGATCATCGATTCCTACAATAATCAAGTAGCGTATCAGAATGAAACTAGGCTCGCAATAATCAAACCACATCATACGTATATCAAATCTGAGATCAAGATATCAATTTAGTGTAAAATAGCATCGGCGGCCTACTGGCCACGCGCCACCACACGTGCCGCTGTGGGTAGCAGTCGACCGCCTCAACTCGCCAGAAAATTCAACTATTTTTAAAAATCACCAAATTTTACAGGCAAGTATATCTCAGTTAGGGGAGTAATTTTCATACCCGTGACCAAGTCCAATTCTGCCGGGAAGTGTCTCAATTTCATCCAAACCCGCTGAGACCCTAGAAATGGGTGTTCCTCGATTCATCGCCAAAACGAACTCCGACACCTCATCCAATGTTAAGCCTTGCTTCAGGGGTTGAGGGGAGTCTATTGGTAGTGATGATCGACGGTAATCATTGTTGGAATCACCTTACAATGAGAAAACTCGCCGGAAAACCCTCGGCACTTTATGGCTTCGACCTAGAAAAATGGAAAGGAAAAAATGGAATCTAACACTACAGGAATGTAGGACTCGTCAAGAGCTTTTCATGGACACCAAGATCACCCAAAACAGAAGTCGAATGAAGAAGATATGGCGGGGTCAAATATGGTGGTTCGCAGGTGAAAATTGACCCATTTTGGGTCTCTCCTCTCCCCTCCTTTCCCCCTTTTTCTGATTGGGCTGTTCCCCACAAATTTTCTCTCCCGCCTCTCTCCTTTCTCCCCTCTCCCCTTGGTGATCGGTCAGTTCCCCTTAACTCGCATAAATATGATTGGCCTCCTTCCTACAAGATGGGAGTTTAACATAAATTTAAAATCTATAGTTTAGTAACACAACTTCAAATGTCCGTATTTATATTGTATAATCCAGACTAACAAACGGTTTTCACCTATACGCTCATAGTTTCAAGATCTATTCGAGTACGTTATTTGCGACCTCGAAAGGTCAACGAATTTTAGATAATTACTTTCCAAACTTCAAACTTTGTAACTAATTTAATTAAATCTAAATCCAAATAAATTAATAAAATTTCTCGAAAAATAATATAAAATCTCAATAATATAAATACGTAGATTATAACGGTGAAATCAAGAAACGGGATTTCACAGTAAATATAGGATTACTCCCTGCAATTAAGAAAACTTGTTATCCCTCCGTAAAATGTTGTCCAAAAAGTGGCTCTCCATGTAATTTTACATTTTATATACTGGCATTTTCTTTACATCTGTGCAATGATAAAGAAAATTAAAATATTTTGTCCTTTTGGTGGTACCTTTCATTGATTCCATCATCCTGACTAGTTGGCTTTGCTACGTAGCTTCTGAAGTTTGACTCCGTCCTCCCTTGACTTTGGTACATATTTTCCATACCAGAAATAATATTAAACTTGTACGTGGCTTCTTCGGATTGGCCGGTGTACAAGAAATTAAAATATCATTTTTTGGTCGAAATTCAAATATGAATGACGGAAAATGAGAAAAGAAACATTGCAGAAAAAGAGAGGCTACTGTTTCCTATCTTTGAATATTTCAGAGGGACTACATTTCAAGATTTGGAAGTTGGAACAAATAATGTATTAAAACGAAACAAGAGACCTGACTCTTATTCCTTTTACTAGTTTACCCATTTCATTTGATGCTCCAATCTCTTTGCTGAGCCTTTTCCTCCAACTTCCATAATGCATTCCTTTCTCCTCCAATCACTGTTTCCATATCTTTTGATCGCTTCCCTTTTTTGGATTAATTCAAAAACTGCAGCAGGGCTGTCAATTGTGGTGACGTCGGAGACATCTCCTACCCTTTGTATATTAAAACAAAACAAGAAACCTGACTCTTATTCCTTGTACTACTTCCCCCATTTCATTTGACTCTCCAGTCTCTTTGCTGAGCTTTTTCCTCCAACATCCATCATGCATTCCTTTCTGCTCCAATCGTTGTTTCCATTTCTTTTGATCGCTTCCTTCCTTTCGATCAACGTCGAGTTAAGTCTATGCCAGGATGATGCACAATTCACAAACTGCAGCAGCTCTATCAATTGTGGTGGCGTCGGAAACATATCCTACCCCTTTTATGGGGTAAACAGAGCTACCTACTGTGGTCAGCCAGGGTACGAGGTCCAATGTCTAAACAACGTCCCTGTGATCAACATGACCGGTCTGAGCTTTAGAATTCTTGAAATGAATTCGACCACTGCTCCTCGGACTGTTTCGGTTGCTAGGCTGGATTACTGGAGTACTATCTGTCCGCTGACTTTCGTCAACACCACCCTCAACTTCTCTCTGTTTAATTATGCCTCTGGTTATACAAACATGACATTTTACTACCTATGCGATATCACCTACACAGGGCTTCCTCGCGAGCAGTGCAACATAAACAAGACAGTGAGCCCTGTTTTCTATGGGACACGTTCGATGGTTGAGCAGACATCTTCTGTCAGCTGTACTGATGAGGTTATTGTTCCGGTTTATACAGCAGCTGCTCAGGCTATAGAGGCCAGTCAAACAACCATCGGCGATGCTGTAAAAGGGGGCTTCCCATTGGAATTGGAGATTGACAGCAATCAATGTAACAAATGTGAGGAATCAGGAGGACAGTGTGGGCTTAACAATACTATTAATTCTGGATTCAGTTGCTTTTGCCCAGATCAAGCCTATGCATCCATATGTAATGGAACTAGTAATTCAAGTCAAAACGGAGGTATGTCTGTCACTTGTCGTTCTCATATAAATTACACATTTGGAACTCCTAGCTTGCTTTTAGTTCTAGATGATTCGTCGAAAAATGTGAGCTATCTGGTCCCATGCTAAAATTTGGAAGCAGAGGGAAGGAATCTAGTATAGTGAAAGCCAACTGTTAGCAAAAGAGCAGACAATTAATGGATTAGTTTGGTATCCATGTTGGATTAAATTTTTTAGGTTTCTGAAACCAATTATTACTAAATAATGTAGTTACCTTAATCATTTTCAAAAACTATGAATTATTTTCCGAATTGAATACCAAATAACTCCTTATATTTCTCGCAAATGCCGCCGCAGCCAACCTAAAACCCTTAAAGATTGTTCATGATTTGATCAGCTTGTGTGTTGACGAATAAGATATATATATATATATATATATGTCTGTGTGTGTGTGTGTGTGTGTGTGTGTGTGTGTGTGTTGAGTTATAGTTCTTGCCACTTGCAATCATCTCATAAGATAGATTATTTGGATGGTTAGACTTTGTGCTGATATAAGAGAGAGAAACTGCTCTCTCCCATCAAGTAGCAACGGTAATATTCCCTCACATCTTTTGCGTGAGCTGATGAATGAATCACCATCGCGTTTGCTTCTCAGATTGTCTTTGCAATTTTTTTTCCATTCCCAGAATTCCAAAACTCAACCTCTTAACAGTTTTAGCCTTTGTTTGGTGCTTTTCTAGTCAACCCTTTTTGTTGCTCATCTCACATTGCAAAATTTTTCTTTTAAATTCCAGTTTTACATATTACAAGTAGTGAAATAAATGTTTCTGCATACATGTTAAACAGTGTATTTTTGTCGAAACATACACATAACCTACCATACAACTATACCCATTCCCCGACAACGTGTCAGCCCTTGTTGACTTTGATGATTGTAATATAAGTGCAGAGCGATTTAGGTATACAAATCCAAGATTAAGCCAATTTTTCTATTAAGGTGGCTGATCTGTTGGCTATGCAAAGTTGACCATAGAAATAGTAACAAACTTGGCCACCAAAACTTTCCATTAGCTATAAGCACTAGTCATTAAATTAACGTTCCAAATGAAACTATCATCTCTTTTTTCTTCGACTTTGAATCGTACTCGCTCTCTCGCGCCATGGAAATACATCACTATGCCTTCCAAAACATCTCTTGGCTCCTTGTGATCTCAAGTACCATATGCCTTTTTCATGTCTGAAAATCTTCGGCTGTGAATGACAATCGATACTTCAACTGCAGCGCATCGTTTTAATGAGCAAATTTTCGGAAGGATGGTGGGTGGAGGAATGAGGGTGTAATGGGGAAGTAATCTATATGGAATTGATTGGGTGGAGGAATGATCATTTTAATGAGCAAATTTCAGTTCCATTGTTATGTTTTTTTATTGCTTGTTCTGTTTTCCAATTAGGGTTTAGGGGTGGGCGCAGGGGACACCTCCCCAAGATTAAGAGTTGCTTCTCTTCTTTGCTTCTCTTCTTTACTGTTTTCCAATTGAGATTGAATTTGGAATTTTTATTTGCTTCTCTTCTTTACTGGCATGCAATTAATCAGTTGACATAAATTGGAAATTTTATTTGCTTCTCTTCTTTACTGGCATGCAATTAATCAGTTTTAAGTTAGGAGTCTAAACTTTATGTTGGTGGGACATGAACAATTTCACTTGTTTTGAGCAGATTGGCGTTTATTGTTTTTTCTTTTAAACTCTTCCAGTTTAAGAAGATTGGATCTTGTGTGATTTAGCTAACTGCAGTTTTCTTTACAATTCAAGGTGCAGGAGATAAGCAGTTGAAATTGAAGCTAGGACTAGGTAAGATTGATATCTCTGCATTTAAATATCTAATTGATATGGATACTCATCTAGGACAAGCTTTAGAACCAAAGGACGGAAATCAATCATTCTCCAATCCCTCTGGATTAATTTTCTAAGAATCACGGAATGAGCAAGTGTTTAAACACACTAGCAAAGTCCATTGATTGCTCTGCATAACATACCTCCAATCAAATTTAACTCTCCTTTAACAGTTGGTGCAGCTTTTGTTGTCGTCGTTCTAGTTGTTGTCTGCTGTTTCTTTTGGAACAAGCGTATCCAAAAACATCAAATTGTTGAGGCCCTTCTAAAGAGCCATGGGCCGCTTCAAGTTCAAAGGCATAGCTATTCGGAGGTCAAGAAAATGACCAACTCCTTCAAAGAAAAATTAGGACAAGGAGGCTATGGTGCTGTTTACAAAGGAAAGTTAAAGGACGGCCGTCTTGTAGCAGTGAAGGTCTTGACCAAACTTAAAGGAGATGGAGAAGAATTTATCAATGAAGTGGCAGCCATTAGTCGAACTTCCCATGTCAACATCGTCTCCTTGTTGGGCTACTGTTTTGAGTGTTCGAAGAGGGCTCTGATCTATGAATTCATGCCTAATGGATCGCTCGAGAAGTTCATATTTAATGCAAGTAATCCCAAGAATGATCATCATCACTTGGGATGGGAAACTCTGGATCAAATTTCACTCGGTATTGCTCGAGGATTGGAGTACTTACATCGTGGTTGCAACACAAGAATTTTGCATTTTGACATCAAGCCTCACAACATTCTTCTCAATGAAAAGTTTACCCCAAAAATTTCGGATTTTGGCCTTGCCAAAATATGCAACAGGAACGAGAGCATTGTGTCGATGTTGGAAGCTAGAGGTACAATAGGATACATTGCTCCAGAACTATTTTCTAGAAACTTTGGAAAGGTCTCGCACAAGTCTGATGTTTACAGCTACGGAATGATGCTTTCGGAGATGGTTGGAGGAAGAAGGAACATCGACACGGAAGTTGAAAATACAAGTGAAATATATTTTCCGCATTGGATTTACCAGCGTCTTGAACGAGATGAAGAGCTTGGTCTACAGAGTGTTACGAATGAGGAAGACAAAGTAAGAGCGAGGAAGATGATCATAGTGAGCTTGTGGTGCATACAAACTGATCCTTCAAACCGGCCAGCGATGAAGGAAGTGATAGAGATGTTGGAAGGGAGTGTTGATTCGTTGCAGATACCACCCAAGCCTTACTTGTCTTCTCCTCCAAAATCCCCGGCAGATTCTTCTACTACATTGGTATCAATACAGTAGAAACCCTGTATTTTACTTGAACAAATCTGTGGTTTTTGAGGCAATCTAAATAATCAAGTATGCATTTGATTTTTGTTTTGTTTTTTTTCTTCTATATATGAATGAATCAACACAGTAGGAGTGACTCACTCCTACTACCCCTCCAGCAATCAAATATATATTCAACACAAAATGTGTGAAACATTTGCATTTGTGGCCCAGACCAATGGACCAAGGTAGTGTGCCCGCTTCATGCATCTTGCGACGCCACGTGATTTTATTATGACAAACAGTGAAGAGAATTGAAGCCGTGTTGAATTTCAGGGTTTTTGCATAACCTTTGAAAATGAGTGGATTGGCGGTACCCCATTACTTGAAAAAACAACTCTATGGTGGTGCTGGATGAATTTCCAAGCGACAAGCATATTGCATATGAATTTCCAAGCGACAAGCATCTATTGGATAAATCAAACCGAAAGAAACAAATAAGATTTAACATGAGTATGTGAGAAATTAGAAATGGTGTGTGTTTCCTTGTTTATCACTTCCCTTCCCTCTATACTTGTAGATGAAATTTTTTTGAATAGTGAGTTTGGTATCAAATTATAAGTGACCTATTATGTACCTTAACCCAAATTCGCAGCTCCAAATATCTTCGTATAAACACTAAAAGATGCAAGTGATGATTTGCCTTGGCAACTTAAGTTTTTTTTTTTTTTTTCCTAATGTACTATATTCTGAGTTCAAGTATTTTTCTTTCTTGGTGTAAATTAATTTAAAATATTGCAGGTAATAAAAATAAATAAATAGAAAGATAAATAGTCAACAAAACATCAAGTACTCATAATTTGTCCCATCCCTTTCTTTTTGTTTTGGGTGAACTTCCTTTCTTTGAATAAGCTTTGTCCTATAACGTCACTAGCTCCTTTCCTCTCTCTCTAGTTCCTTCCTTTTACCTAGTGTCACTCCAACTCCTACTCCAACCACAACCTACTTTATTCATTTCATTTCTACCAAAATATGAATTCCTGGCTTTTCTTCTCATCCCATTTCGCCTTCTTTGTTTTCATCAACTTTCCTTTGTCCTCAAGCTTTGATTCGTACACAAATTATAGTAACGCGTTTCACTGTGGAGACATCACACAAGTGGGATTTCCCTTTTGGGGAGATGGAAGGCCGGAGAGTTGCGGCTATCCGGAACTGAAGCTAACATGCTCGAACGATGTTACCGCCATTGAGATTATGGGGAATCGAGGAAGAGTATACTGTGGATATGGGTTGCAAGAGAAGTGGAGAGGAAAGTATCTTTGTTCCAGTGCACGACATGCTTCTTGATCTCTTCAGGTATTCCACCCCGCCTATTTCTCTTTGCACACATCGAAGAAAACAGAGAGTCACAGTGTTTCAATGAAGCTGAAGAGTTTGGAAAACATCTCAGTATCTTCTTCTCATCCCAATCTCCGCCCTTGGATCTCATCGACAACCCAATTCCCTCCAGCAAGTCCCGCAAATTCACAAAAAAAAAAAAAAAAAAAAAAAAAAATTCAAATGAAAATGCATTTCTAAATCCAAAATCACAAAAAGGAAATTTCAACATAAAACCCATTTCTAAATCCAAAATCACAAAACCCCCATATTTGAACTAAAGAAAACCCCAAATTAATTTAAGTTTTTTTTTCGTTCATATACAAAATTGAGCATAATAAAAACTGAACCAAAAGTCTTAATTGCTTACCGACGTGAAGAGTATTTCAGAAAACAGCGCCGTTGAAGGCCGGTGCGACGCCCAGGCTTGACCAGGAATTAGTCGACTCGCTGGACTTGGGTGCCCCAGGGCTCACTCCACTTATTTGCTTGGAGCTAAAAAACAGAACCAACACAAACACGCATATAAAATTCATGAAATTTGTTTCTACTAATGTGTAATTCCGATTTGAGTTCCAATTCACAGGAAAAAAATTTAGCCATATGTAAAAAGAAAAGAAATAAAGTGTGAAGAAGATGATTTCATCAGAGAGCTTACCTCTGCAGTTGTTGCCGACTTGAACAAATCAAGCATCTGTAGCAGCCTTCAGAAAGAGATTTGACAGAAGTGAGATAAACACCAAAGAAGTCAATCGCTGAGAAAACATCAAAAACCAAAATCAGATTCCAAAAATCCATAAAATTAAAAGAATTAAAATATGGGTTTTATTAATCGGGTAGTGAATCACTAAAATACCATGAATGATGCTGATAACTAAATCAAACAACAGTAAAACTATACACTGATTGAAATTCATGATTTTAGATTTAAAGTTGTATATTTTTTGTTTTTTTAATAGTTTCTGCTAGCAATAACATAAAAGATTCTAAAAGGAAATGTATTGTTTTCCAACTTCTTTCCATTATGTTAATAGCCAATCCAATTTTACCTGTTACCGACACAAGATGGGTTCAAAAGAGGTTGATAAAACTATACACTGATTGCTGCTACAAGTCATCTGTGACGCCCAATATGAAGCTGCTTAAGAAACTCTATGAGCAGGAGGTAAGGCTAGAGGAAAATCGAGTGATAAACTCATACTTTTGTCTTTCGGGTTTCAGATGATGATGTTAATGTGTCTGATTGTGGACTGCAAGACTTTTCATTAATGCCATTGTTGGATGCCCTGCATGCCGATAAAACATTTGCATTGCTAGACCTTTCTCACAATGAGTTAGGTAATACTAACAGCATGTGATTTCTAGCCTACGCTTATTTAGATTCAAAAGTGTTGCTTCTGGACTAGAAAGTATTTAGCAGCCTTTTCTTTCATTTACTAAAACATTTTCCCAGGAATTGTGGGCAGTATTAACTGTTTATTGGCCTCATTGTTTCCCAGGAAATGGTACAATGAACAAACTGCAACAAGTAATCACTTCATCATGCCAAAAATCTGCTGGATTGACGTTGGATCTCCACTTCAACCGATTTGGTGTAACTTCTTTGGTTCATGTATTTAACTAACATTGCAAAAAATTTCATGTTAAAGCTTAAGCTGACTTCTTTGAATGATTCATATACATGTTTTTCCCATGTATTAAGTTCATGCAAGAAAGACTGTAAGCAAGGGTGAACTTTGACTCTCTCCGCCTTTTGTTTGTTGCCAGATGGCTTTATTGTGGATTAGAAATCCACCATCCAAGATCAAACCTAATGTACTAGATCAGACCTCAAACAGGGCTATCTTACAAAAATCAAAACCTTAACCCAAAGTCATTTTACAGCTGCTAACACATCCATCTTCGTATAAGAACGAGAATTATCCCTGAACTCATTAGGAACTGATGCCCAAAGAGCTCCCCAGTATCTAATTCTATCCCAGTAAGTTTTCAGAATAATCCTATCAAAGCAGGAGATCTGGAGTTTACATCTTTGTAGTAATAACCTTCTAAGCTCCTAATGCAGGCTATTATAATTTGAGCTGTTATTGTATAGTCTAACGGTTTAAGATCAGAAAAAATGGCTAACCAATAATTTCCTTGTAGCCAGTTTAAGACTGAAACTTCATCTGTGTAATTTCCTCCATGTCTGAACTTTGAAAAGGAGGTTGTAATTTTTCAAGTTCCACCTATGTAATTGGAAGAACTAACAAGGGACGTGTTAACCATCAATAACTTGCCGATTGTCTCTTATCTTATCGAAATTTAGCAACAACACTCATGATGCGAAGTCTATTGGATAATGGATTTTTGTAGGTTTATTATATGCAGTGCGATTATTTCAGTCAGGAACTATATATTTAAATTTGCTGTTAGCAGGACAATGTTAAGGCCTTTTTGTACTCACTATCAGTCCACAACCATTTTCTGTGTTTCAATCTTCAGATTTGCAAATGCCCTTTGCCATTTGCTCGATTGGAAGTGCTCAATATCTCTGAAAATCCTCTCACTGATACATGTGCATCTTGCCTCTCCACTATCTTGGAAAATTGCAAGGGTAAAGTGCTTTCATTGAGCTCAAGCATTTAAATTATTTGTTTCTGTTCTTATTGATGTTTAGTAGCATATATGCTTCTTGGTACATTTAATTATTTGAATGGAATTTGTTCAAAGTAACGCTGAATAGTCTCTGCTTATTTTGCTTTGTAGCTCTTTGCAGCTTGAGCATAAAGCGCTGTTCTGTCACGTCTAGAACAATTCAAAAAGTTGCCGAGGCATTGAATTCTGATTCTGTGCTTGGGCAGCTTTGTATAGGTATGCTTGACATTTCATAATTGCAATACACATTATTGGCTGGACTTTTTATTTTCATCAATTATCGGGTTGTCTCAATTCCTTTCCTTCCACAGGATATAACTACCCAATTCATGGAAATACCATCATTAATTTACTTTCCAAGCTTGACACTTTGAAAAGGTTTAGATTCACTTAAAATCATTCTTTCTTTCAGTATGCATAGGTTACTCCATCCACTAACTGGGGTGAATATACAAATTTCCTTCTTATGCAGATTTTCAAAATTAAGTCTGAATGGACTGAGTCTAAAACAGTCTGTAGTTGATAGCCCTTGCAACCTTGTCCTTGTCAGGATTAAGTCTTCGGGAAACTTGTATTGGTATTGTGAGTGCACTGTCATTTTGCATTAACTCCTCGGTTCTCACTGTTGTTGGACTTCCGTCACTATGCATATTCTCCTTACTGCTTTCTTCCAATTTTGTTTATTTTAATATTCTTTTTCAGGATGAGGCATTACTATTAACTGAGTCATTGTTCAGCCAAACTCCAGAGTTTGTGAAACTTGACTTTTCAAAATGTAAAGTGACGTCTAATTATTTTCACAGACTAAGCACCAATTCTTCTATGATTTGTGGCATTGTTGAGCTGAACCTTTCGGAAAATCCTATCACGGAGAAGGTTTGTTCTCTCATTTGTATATACAAATACATGAAGATATGCTGCCTTTATAAACCTGAGATTTTTTGTTGGAGCTGCATGAGATTATTTTGTCATTAACTCTCTTCTGGCCTTTACATGTCCTTTGTCCTTCCACTTAATTTGTGTAACTTTTGACCTGAATTGTCATTCTTCACCATGTACGCCCAAATCCGTCTAAGGGCTTTATCTTGAAAGAATGTTGTCATTAGTCTCTTTGCTAGTCTAAGAATCAAGTTTCTGCTACGAGAATTTCTTGGATCTTACCAAGACAAAAAGGGTAGTCGATACATTTCTAATTAATTCCATTTCATCACTATGAACACAGGGTAACAATGCACTATCATCAATGCTTTTGGATTCTCAATGTTGTCTGAAAGTGTTGTCTCTTCAAAAGTGCGAGCTCGGGACTGCTGGAATTCTTCGAATAATCAAGGCATTATCAGGTTCACACCACTAGCTCACCTCTGTCCTTACTCCCAAATATTAGTCCCATGAAATGGAACTAATAATAATTGTTTGGTTTGATGTTTTAAGCAGGTAATGGTTGTCTTGAAGAGCTGAATCTTGCTGAAAATGCCAATGTGGAAATACAATACTCTGAATCTACTCCGGACCACTTCTGTACCAAAGGAAGCTTACCCTGCTCAACAGGGTTCCTACCATGCGAACACTGATTTAGATGCGCTTGAAGTTGCTGATAGTGAAGATGATCAAGAAAAAGTTGAAACTGCTGCACGTGAACTTGATGACAGCTTTACAAGCCAGTGGCGGAGTAATTCCTCGTCTCCTGTGCACCGGTTTATTCAAGAGCTTTCTACTGCCGTTGGTATGCCAAAAAATTTGCAACTACTGGGAAAATGCACCAGTTTATTCCAGAGAAAATGCAGAAATATTGCGTTCTTCATGGTCAAGCTCAAGAGCCGGTGCAGCTTGGAGGCATATCAAGGATCAGACCATTCATTTTAGGGGTGGACAAACGGGTAGAGGACCCGTGGGTCGGGACGGGTAATCATGGTTTGGGGCGAGTCCAATTTTTTTGTTAGAATAAACGGGGAGGGCTAGGTCCAAATCTTCAGACCCACGGGGCCCCGGACCGGTCCATTTCTATAATGCAATGGATGGCACTGTTGGTGGAATAGAAACCCACCTATTTGAATGAATGAATAGGCCCATTCCTATAATGACAATACAATGAAATTGGTTTCATTGGACTTGTTTCTAATATAATTATACAAAATGAAACCTTCCCAAGCTTCCAAAGTCTTCCCCCTTCTTCGATTTCAAACTAAAACCCACCAAGTTCATACGTCTCTCATTTCTCTCACTCTGCAAGTCCAGCGAACTTCTTCCCGTCTCTCATTTCTCTCTCACCCCTTCTCTATCTCTCTTTCACTCTCTGCACGTCTCTCATTTCTCTCTCACCCCTAATTAGAACATCACCAAACTTCTTCAAATCCTTCCATTTCTGACCGTAATATGCTCAGTCTCTCCCTTGGTTTTATCGAAATCTCACTCAGATGGACGAAGATGGCGCATGGGTCTAAACAAGAGAAGTCGGTCCAGATCAGAAAGAGACAGGGGACTGAGAGGGGCGGAGCTGAGAGATTGAGATGGCAAGAGCAGAAGTACTGAACGCGTACAAAGCTTTGCTACAAGCAACGTGGAAGTCGTTCGCCGGAGACGTGACGATGCTAAACGGTGCGGCGGAGGTCTGCAAGAAGTTCGAAGAGAGCAGGCACGTGACGTCAAACATGGAGATCCAGAGCCTCTTGGAATAGGCAGGCGAGGCCTCCCATTTCATCAGCGAAATGATCGTCTAGGCCAAGCTCAATTGTTGCTGGGCATTTGGGTTTTGCGTCGGAGGAAGACAGACTTGAATAACGTTGTTTCCTTTTGTTGGACCCATGGACCTGGCCCGAAACACCTGTTTCAAACAGGCTGGGTTATGTCCAGTTCCAACTTCAGAAATTTCAATACTCGGCCTGACACGCCCCGACCCCGATATTCCCCGAATACCAGGATAGGCACGTGCTGGCCGACACCCGAGGGTGACGAAAGCCATTTATTGAGTGTAAAAACTGAAAACAAAGGTGTAAATAAGGTTTATGAATATAAAAGAATAATTAATATGCAAATATGGACCGTGTTCAGAGCACACCTCTAACCTAGAACACTAGAAGAAAATAATATAAAATTGAATGAGACAAAGGAGTGGGTCCTACACCACGAGGACTCGAAGATGCCGATGCGGAAGTGCCTGGACGTCGGGATTGTAAGCCTCGATTCTAAGTCCTGAAGGGGGCGCAAAACAAACATGAGTGGACCAAGTTGATATATATATAATAAAACAGTATCAACATACTAACCCCCAGGTTTTATGAAAACACAAATATAATGATAAACATAGGTTTTCCGAAACCTAGCATGTCGTGCAATATCTCAAATCATAACATGTAAATATCATAAACACTAGTGAATGTCCGATACAACTCTCCAGGCCCCATGCCGGCTCCCCGTCTCTGAGCAGACAGTCAGAGGAAAATACACTTGAGGCCCTATGCCGGCTCCCCGTCTCTGAGCAGACGGTCAGAGGAAAACACACTCCAGGCCCTATGCCAACACCAAACCGTCGCCCGGGACGGACCGGATCTATCCCTACGTCCCGTAGCGGAAAGGACCACTAGGTAAGTACAAAACCAGTGAACATACATATATTTAAAGATCAACTTCATAGTATAAAGTCATCCATCATCTATACTATAAAGAGGTGTTCTAAACATGTTCTAAATATCATATCGTCATCCATCAGATATTCTACAAGAACATGGGTTATAGGAAAAATAGTAATAATTCAAACTAGCCTCAGTAAGTATGTTATCTCGTAAAACGTTTCATAAAAAATACTCATCAAATCATGCTTTTCATGTATGCATTTCTACTATCAAAACATGCATTTTTAGAAGGGGTCCACTCACAGTACTTCGCCGTCGAAAAGCCACGCCATCTAGCAAAGAAGGAAACTCCACAGATAATCACCCCTAAGCACATAAATGATACATTTAGTCAGACTCTACTCAAACGATTGAATTTGGGAAAACGGACATCGGAAACGGGTTTAGAACGTCGAAATTAGCCTAGGAGGGGTCCCGCACGAAAACCCAAAAAGTCAACGGTCAAAGTCAACGTTGACCGGGTCAACGGTCAACGGGTCACGGGTTTGGGCTTTAGGGTTTTGGGTTAGGGTAATTGGGTTTAGGTTTTAGGTGGGTTGGATTTGGGTTAGAAGGAAAGTGGGTTTGGGTTTGAAACCTCATGGCCCAAGGCCTAATTAAAAAGGGGATATGGGTTTGGGCTGCAACCAAGGCCCTAAGGCCTTTTGGGTTTTTAAAAGAAATAAACTAAAAATAAAAAGGAAAAGGTTTAGGGTTTTGGGCCAGAGACCAAACGGGCCTAAGGCCCGTGGGGAAAGGAAACGGCCTGAAGGCCTGGGTGTTTTCTTGGGCTGGGTTTCACGCCGGAGAAGAAGGCCGGAATTTAGACAAACTTTGAACGTCCATAACTTTGTTAATACTCGACGACATCAAGTGATTCAAAAATGAAAATCGTAGCTCTCGAAGAGAGGAAGAGAATGGTACCTCACACGACGTCTAACTCGCCGTGGTTTGGCTGGAAAACACCTCGAAAGTCACTGAGGTCGCCGGAAACTGGGTAAGATTCAAATGAGTATAACTTCTTCAATACTCAATGAAATTAGGTGAAACAAAAAGGAAAGTTGTAGTACTCAGTGAGACGAAGAGATTGATACCTCGCACGCCGGCCAACTCGCCGTGGTTTGGCCGTAAATCGCCTCGAAAGGGACGGTGCTCGCCGGAAATTTGGGTGTGCACTCACCCGTGCCAAAACACTCCAAAACCTTGGAAATCAAGAACCCAAGTTCAAAAACCACATCTAACCAACATCTAATATGAATAAAAGGAAAGAAACACGGCTTACCCAACCGGAAAACGATGAAACTCGCCGGAGATGCTCGGCGTACTCCGGCACCGCGAGCAGGGGAGAGAGAAAGAGAGAGAGAAAAGCAGTTCAATGGCGATGATGGTGATGATTTCCTCGAGTAGGTGTAGCTGTGGGTGTGTGTGTGTGTGTGTGGTTGTCACGGGTAGAAGAAGAAGAAGAGGAATGAGAGAGTTTTCGAAAAGAAAGGAAAAAGGTGCAGACAACAAAAGAAAAGAAGGAAAAGAAGAAAAAAGAAAAAGAAGAAAGAAGAAAGGAGGGACACGGCAGGGGGGACAAAACAAGGGTGGGCCCCTTGGGCTCACCAAATAAGGTTCAAAAAAAATTTTAAAAAGGAAGGTATCCTCAAACTTAGTGAAAATATAAAAATACCCATTTTCTTCCGTAAATTTCCGGGATGGGTTGTTACACGGCCCATTCCATTTTAAAGCGGGTCCGATCCGGTCCTTTCAAATTTGGGCCCAACTCGGCCCGTGCCCACCCCTAATCCATTTATTTACGAAGGGAATCAAGTGTTGTGTGAAACCCTGCTGCAGAAGGGATTAGTTTTCTTGCTTCTTGCTGCTACAACATCCTCACTCAGTACCAGTACCAACTTCATCTTTAAAATCACGGCGTAAATTCATACTTCGAAAATTTTCGCCATTAAAACCGAAAAATGTATAGATACATGACTGCGTAAATTATGCAGACCATAACAACTTTTATTTTTGCAGAGAAATTTTTGAGACATAATGTTAATATATATTACGTGTATTTGTTTATAAAGGCAGTCATGTAGAACATGTTTTAGTGTGGATTGTTTGCCCGACTTCAGTTGAGGACATGTAAAGACAATGTGCTTACCTAAGATTGCCATATACAAGTTACAACTAAGCACGCGATCAATGAAGTTTGACAGCTATCTTTTTTTATAATACAAGTGTATATTTATCGATGTGGAATTGGTTGCAAGTGTAATCTACTAAAAACAGTTTTTTGTGAGGGATGTGTTGAAAAATGCAATCTCACATCAGAAACTTGACAAACTGTATTACTACTTATGAATAAATAGACTACTAATAATAATGCTCAAGCTTTTTGTAATAAAATTCAATATCTGCCAAATTATGCAAGGAGTAAAGTTCTGGACGTGTTTAGACGCCGATTTCATTTCCAAGTATGCATGTATGTAGTTCCTGCTAAGTGCTAAGTATCATATTTTCGAAGTTACATTATGAAAACGTATTTTAATTAACTCCATACTAGTAGAAATAGAATGGTCTTGCAAAGTGGATACGTCCACATCAGAATACGAGATCCATGCATGCCAGTCCAGTTGTCAAATTATCCCGTTCCAAAGTAGTGGTTAAAGTATTTACCAGTCAGCTTCTGTTCAGCTTTGACCTGTCTTAGTTGAACCTGTCAACTTAATTTCAATGTATCCATGCAAAACTTGAAAGCCAAGTGTCCTTCATTCCCGGCATTCATCAACGCCTCTAACTCGATCTTCACGCTTCCACGACTTGCATGCATTTCCATCTGTTCAAGTCCCAACTTCCCCAAACATCAATGAAATATAATATATATATATATAGAGAGAGAGGGGGGAACCTTTAAGGGAAGAAATCTTTATTTTTTTTTCTTTAAACGGGAATTAGTTGTGGGATCTGAACTACATCGAACTTTAACAATCTAAACCATTTATTTTTCAAGTTGCACTTCATAAATCATTCTTACAAAATATTAGCCAAATTGGAAATGTTTAGAACATATAATTGGGTTCGAAGAAATTAACGAATAATTTGTTATATAAGAGACAATGAAATTTTATCTTGATAATTAAATAGGCAAATGGTTTCGGATTAAAATGAATTTTTGCAAGGATGATTTATAAATCGAGATTTATAAAATAGACGGTTCGGATTGTTGATGTTCATTGTGGAGTGAACCCCACACTTAATCCCTATTTTTTTGACAAAAATAGAGATTCGTTTGCATAAAGGGTTTGTGTGTGTGTATATATTATCACCGTGCATGCATTTTGTGGCAGGATATTTTTTATAATATAATTAGCTAATTACTCTTAATGTTGATCGATGCATTAATTTCTCATTCATCCAAATTAAGAGAGAACCAGTCAAGTTTGGCTGCTGGATTTCCACTCACTCTATACAGTGTACGTGTCACGTGTGTGACCGCCATGGTCCGCTTAATTAAATACTAGACGAAGCTCAAACATTATGTGTGCAAAAATAAAATAATTTTAAAAAAAATATATGGAAAAGAGAGAAATTGGAGAGAAATTGTGAAAGAAATAGAGAAAAAAATTGAGTTATTTAATTTTTAAATTAGAGATGTTATGATGAGATGTGGGTGAGGTTTGAATAAAAAAATTTAATTGTGCAAAATTATATCATTACCCTTGATTTTATAGTGTGATACGAGATCAAAAATTATCTATTCACTCTTTCAGTTGACAAGGAAAATTTTATTAACAGATAATTTAGATGTTACATACTAACAGTTAAACTGTATTGCTTACGAAATATCGCTTCAGTAAATTCGAACATGTTATGAAACCTTACAAGTGATGGCAGCCATCAGTAGTACATGAAAAGGATAAAACACTTGTAATTAATAAAACTTATAGCTTTTGAGATTACTGGAATCTTAACTTCTTCAGTTAGAGGAGATGGCCAGAGAGGGAGACTGAGATGTGTCGCTGAGTGTTAATGATGGCTGAGACCTGAGAGCCGGAGAGTGAATCGAGAGGCAGAGAGAGAATGAGTCGTTAGAAATTTAAAAAAAAAAAAAAAAAAAAAAAACACGAGATGACTAAATGTGTATGGTTGAGATTACCCTAATAATATTAGATATTTAAAATTATAACAATAAAAAATTTCGGTTCAGTTTTGATAAAATTTAACTACCAAGTTATTGATAAAATTTAAATTTCGATAGGTAATTTACAATTTAGGTATATTTTCGTTTCACTAATTTCATTTTCGATTCTGTAATTTTTAGTTCGGTATTTCGTTCAGAAAAATGACAGCCGTGGTTGTGTATAGGAGAATAGCCTTTGTGATTGAGTCATAAATTTTGTATTTCTTATACGTAAGAGTGAGACTTATTCCACGATATGCTTGACAACTTATTTTACATAATCATCCTACATTTAGCAAAATTTCGGATATGCTTTTCTATTCCAATAAAAGAAATTTATTGTTCTTTTTACAAACGATATGATAATCTACATTAAATTACTTTAAACTATACGGAGAGATATTCTAACACACGACCTCGAATGCAAGTGCAAATGCTCTCAAAGCTACTAATTTTCTTTTTATTACATATGAGATTCTATACTAATCTAGATTAATCACTCCACTTACAAGAAAATTATTTATTAAAATTCTAATAAAAGCAGTTTTTCTCAGTATAATAATTTGTTAAGAATTTGGATAACATATAATAATTTATTTACGAATATTCTATATTTATCAAAATTTGGGAAATAATGTAATTATTTATTTTCCTTTTTTGGTTGATTATGATGATTGGTGTATCAAAATACAATTACGATGGTAGGTAAATCGTATGTGTATAAATATAGGAATAGAAATAATATTTTTCATTTAATTGATCAATTTGGTGTTATTAAAAGTGTTCAACAAATGCTAAGGATGCGGCTTCGATCCGTACTGATTCTCTTACTCCAACAACTAACAATTTAATCGGCACAATCGTTTGTGAAAAAATAAATTCCAACAAACTGACCTGGGAACTGTAGAGATGAATGCGGCCCAGACAACGTACTCCTTCTTCCAATTTCTTTAAATAGCGCTTTTTCTGGCTTTCTTATCTTCTTCTTCTCTAATTTTGGCAATTCAGACTCTTTACTACTTTCTATTCGTCTTCTTCTTTTCAAACCCTGAAAATAATTAAATTAATCAAGACAATCAAAGAACAATTACATTGATCGTGCACCCACCACCATGGATTCTGATCTCTCCGTTATCATCCCTCGCGTCCTCATCGTCTCTCGACGTACCCTTCGCAAGAACAAGTTCGTAGATTTTGTGGGTACGCTCTCAATTTCCATAACAATAACAATTTCATCTTCTTTTCTTCATAAATTTTTAACATTTTATTACGAGCGGTGTTACTGTAACTAAGGAAAGAAGAAGGGTTTGAACTCAGAAACGCAGTGGGTTGAAACAAAAATCTTATATACGAGGCCAACACACCACTTTCTTTAACGCTTTTATTCTAATCCTAAATTCCTAATGCACAGTTTTACTGATAATTAATCGTTTGTATGTGATTTTAGGTGAATACCATCTTGATCTTATAGTAGGTTATGGAGCAGTACCAGTAATCGTGCCCCGAGTGAATGGGGTGCACATGTTATTGGATAGCTTCGAGCCCATCCATGGAGTCCTCCTCTGCGAAGGAGAAGGCATTGACCCGTCTCTCTATGAGTCAGAGGTTGACGTCTCAGGTCTTTCACCGGAAGAGTTGGAAGATATCAGGAAGCTCCATGCAAGCGACACAGTCATCGACAAAGAAAAAGACTCGATCGAACTGAGGCTGGCGAAGCTCTGCCTCGAACGGAACATACCCTACTTGGGAATATGCAGAGGCTCACAGGTCTTGAACGTGGCATGTGGAGGAACCCTTTACCAAGACATCGAGAGAGAGCTCTCGAAAAAGCTCAGCAAATTGGATGATAAAAAAAATGGTGTGTATGTGCAGCATATAAATTATGAAGACTACGATGGGCATAGGCATGTGGTGAATATGGTGGAGAAGACTCCTTTGCACCATTGGTTTAACGAGTCTATGGAATCAGGAGAAGGGAAGATGCAGATTAGGGTTAACAGCTATCACCATCAAGGTGTTAAGAAATTGGCACAGAGATTTGTGCCAATGGCATTTGCACCAGATGGTTTGATTGAAGGGTTTTACGATCCAGATGCTTATAATCCTGAGGAAGGTAAGTTTATCATGGGATTACAGTTTCATCCAGAGAGAATGAGGAGACCAGATTCTGATGAGTTTGATTACCATGGTTGCCCATCTGCTTATCAGGTCTCTTAGCTACTTAATTTTTCAATAACTTTTTTTGTTTGTGTATAGAATATATTGTAATCATAAATTATGGATTAATGAGGAATTAATGTATTAACGGATTTTGTAGGAATTTGTGAAGGCAGCAATTGCTTACAAGAACAAGCTTAATAGATCAGCTTCAGTACCACAATCTTTGAAGCTGGATGGGGAAATGGAGAAAAGGAGAAAGAAAATTGTTAGAAGTTTCTCAATTGCAAGAAACATATACACAGGAGGCCTAGGAGGTGGTCTCCATCCAATCAAAGAATCTGAACTTGAAGCTGGTGCAGAATTCCTTGAGGTTAATTTCTGATAGATTACCAACCGTTTGATATTATTCTTTTTAACTTTTTGTTACTAGGTGACCAAAGAATACATGATCATTTATTCGTGAAATGCGATATTAACGGTGGAGACAATAGATGTGCGTTTAGTGTTTTAATCTCTAACCTTGGTATCAATCCAAGGGTGGGTGCACACGGATACTTGGTCACTAGGTGATCGAGAGAGTGAGACTCGGGTGTGCTATTTACATTAGGAAACTTTAATTTGATACTAATGTGTTTTATTTTGATACTAAAGTGTTGTTTTTGTCTTATCTGCAGTCGAACACAGCACTGAGCTTACAGCAGGAGAATAGACTGAAGCAAATGGGTGCAACAGTGAGAAATGCAGGTTCCTATAAACAGAGATTGAAGTTGAATGAGGAGAGAGAAAGAATGGCAAGGAATGTGATGGGGAAAATGTCAGTGGAGCAATTGTCTAATCTGTTGACCTTCTACATGTTGAAAATCAATGTCAAA